TTGAACAAGCACACCCAAAATAGCTCATGAAACCGCCAGAGCACGTGCTACGAACTTGAAGAATCTGAAGTACTTCCATCCATCATCTCACTCACGCTCTTCATTCAGACGAGATCACACGATTGCAACTACACAGGAAATCACCATTGAACAAGCACACCCAAAATAGCTCATGAAACCAGAAAAAAGGTGATGTAAAATTGAGTGCCCTGCATCCCTAAGCAACATCATGCCAACATGCAACAACCCGCTTAAGAAATTGTCCAAAGAACAGCAAGTTCTGACTGGCTATGGCTGCACTTTCTTTCCCCTCACGCAGTGCTGAAAGTAGTGCACCTCTTGGATCACCGAACCACAAAAACATTGTGAATGATTTCTTTTTCTTCTCTTTTCTGTTTTGAATTTGGACCATTTCTCGATTTATGTATGCGTGTCATCCTTGCTTGCTCAGGGGCCATGCTAATCTTCATTCTCTGTATCATTCCAATTATAACGGATGTCCCGAAGGACCATTGTGAATGATTTCTGATTTAGGGTTTGTTCAACTTCGCTGCCAACTCGTCACTTTTTGAGGAGCCGCCACTAGCTTGGGCCTACAGTTCTGCTTCACAAAAGAAAGCCCTAAAACTGAGACCAAGCAGCAAAAACATTGTGAATGATATCTGAGTGAGCGTTTGTTGCCGATTCGTCACTTTTGAGGAGCTGCCACGTGCCTAAGCCTTTTTTACGGTCTGCTTCCCAAAAGAAAACCTTAAAACTAACAGCCCAAAACTCCTCACTAGGCTCGGAAAATAGAGACTCTCCATGCAGGTCCCGGGTCCAAAACTCACGAGCTAGCTTCAGAACAGTAAAGAAAAGCAAAATGATTCAGTAGGCTAGGCAAACAGAAGCTCTAAATGCCCTGGGCTCAAAACTCGCCCTTTTCAAAACAGTAAAGGAAAACAAAACAATTGTGCCTACCTCGTAAAACGTGCTTGAGAGTGCGTGAAGAGTGACAATGGTTGTCGATGGGTCGATTGACAAGATCATTTTTTTACGTGTATGACTTCCGGGAGTACTTCGGACTATACTAGCACTTCGAGTTGTTCGTTCTTCCTTATCTAGGATATTGTTTTCTTCGGACTATTCTAGCTCTTTGCTAGATGCATGACTTGCGGGAGTACTTCGAACCAATACTACCTAGGTCTTTAGACTTGTTGTTGTTTCTTAGTTAGGGAGCTATTTGCTTTTCTATTCTAGCTCTAGACTAGATGGATGACTTCCAAAAGTACGGTGGACTATACTAGGACTTAGATTTGCTGTTCTTTCTTAGTTAGGATGCTGTTTGCTTGTCTATTCTAGAGCTAGACTAGGTGTATGACTTCTGGAAGTACTCAGGACTATACTAGGACATTGATTGGATATTCTTTCTTAGTTAGGATGCTGTTTTGTTGTCTATTCTAGCTCTAGACTAGATGGATGGCTTCCGCCAGTACCTCAAACTATATTAGGTCTTAAAATTTTGTTGTTTTCTCTTAGTTGGGATGTTGTTTTCTTGTCTATTCTAGATGTAAACTAGGTATATGGCTTTCAGAAGTACCTTGGACTGTACTAGGACTTCATTTTGTTATTCTTCCTTGGTAAGGATGCTGTTTTCCTGTTTTCGTGTCTATTCTAGGTCTAGACTAGGTGTATGACTTCCGGAAGTACCTCAGACTATACTATGACTTAGACTTGCTGTTCTTTCTTAGTTAGGATGTTGTTGTCCTGTCCTGTCTATTCTAGCATCTAGAGCAGATGCACGTCTTCTGGAGGTACTTGTGACTATACTAGGACTTAGATTTTCTGTTCTTTTAGTTACGAGGCTGTTTTCTCGTCTATTTTAGCTCTAAACAAGATGCATGACTTTCGAAAGTATGTCGGACTATAGTAGGACTTAGATTTGCTGTTCGTTTCTGGTTCGGATGCTGTTTTCTTGTCTATTCTAGATCTAGACTAAGTGTATGACTTCTGGAAGTACTTCGGACTATTTTAGGACTTAGTGTTCTTTCTTAGTTAGGATGTTATTTTCTTGTCTATTCTAGCTCTAGACTAGATGCATGACTTCTGGGAGTACTCGGGACTATACGAGGACTTTGACTTGCTGTTTTTTCTTAGTTAGGATGTTGTTTTCTTGTCTATTCTAGCTCTAGACTAGGTGCATGACTTCCAGTCTTTTTTCGGGGTGTACTACAACTTAGATTTGTTGCACTTTCTTAGTTAGGATATTATTTTTACTGTCTATTCTAGCTCTAGACTCTATACACCCGGGTCATGTGCTCCAAACTCACCAACTTCAAAACAGTAAAAAAAAACAAAAGTATGTACTTCATTTGTTTCCAGGTTCAAACCCTGCCAAGAACGAGAACAGCAAACACTTCGAAATTTAAATTCAGCAAATTGCCAAATATTTGGGCAGTTTGTGGGTCCGAACCCTTAAACCCAACAATATGGCACCATCTTTCTTGCATATAACGGGCCTGTGTTGCATTTTATCCATTAGCCCAGCCATGCACCTGTGAATTTTGGGCCCACAACTTTTTAATAGTCAAGGACAATGCTTGGGCTATCTGATTGTCTTCCACTCTTTTCTCTCCCTGTGCATTTGCCAGGGAGAGTTCATAACTTCATATCAACAAACTGTGAGTGATTCTTTTTTTTTCTGGTATTTTTTCTGTTTTTTTTTTTTTTTTTCACTGTCAGTGATTCTCTCTTTTGGGCCAGATCCCACCGGCAAAGAGGATTTGAATAAGCCTCTGAATCTGGACGTGTTTCTGGAGGTGCAAACAATTGTGATTGAACTGCTTTTCTGCATCTCTGCATGGAACACGTCAAGATTCAGCCACTTATTCCAATCCTCTTTGCTAGTGGGATCTGGCCCTTAGTCTTTGCTCAGACGCATGTTTTGGAAGTTATCCACAACAACGTGTACTAGAATAGTGAAACGCGGATGGTACCTCCTCACTACTCATGACCTGGCCAGTTTTAGCAAAGGGCTCAGCTTACTAGAGAGGGGTCACCAAGTTTAGGAAGGCGTTTTAACGTCTAGGTTTTGTTGGCATGCCCTTTGCTTGTGCCATCACTTGTTCACAGGTATGCAACATCACCGCATATGTTCTCGGGGGAGACTGAGAAAGCTTTCGTCCGGATCCGGGATGAGGTTGGTTGACTTGTCGACCCTTAATGCCAACTTTGTGTGTTTCAGTTACATCTTTTGCCCTTTCGTTCCTTTTTCTAATGGAGGGGAGGTGGGCGAGTAAGGTGGTATTTGGAGGAATCTATGGCAGTTTGTCGTTTGGTGAAGCAGTGCTAACGATGAGATGCATATCTATGGTGCAGGTACGAACACCCCTATATGGTTGTGATTGCTACGCATATGGATTGCTGGCAGCTGGCTTTGTGGATTTGGTTGTGGAGGCGGACATGAAGGTGATCTCCTTACCCGCCAGCGTGACTCCCATGTTTGTCTGTACCTTCCGTTCTCTTTCCCCCTCTGCCCCAAACCTTTCATATCTTCATTCTGATGAGACAAGTAGAGGTTAGTGAGAAGAGCATGCTCATGATCCAGACTGCTCATGCTTTGAGTGTTACAGTTGTCTTTTTGTGTCTCACTTGTGTTAGTCCATTGTATGGAACAGGGAATCAGGCCCGCCAGAAGCACAAGATGTGAAACAGGTCTGCTACTGTAGCACAATTGTGACCAGTTTGACGACATTTGTGCCTTCCACACACATAGCACTGGTGGGAACTGTGCATTTCACATGCCCTCGAGGGTGGTGGTTGGTGGCCAACTGCGGCCGGGGTTAAATTGGATTAGGGGAGCCTCCTTATGCGTTGGTGAAACTCTAACGAAACAGGCTGTCGCAGCCTCCTCGTTCTTATCCTTTTCTCCCTTTCAGCCTATAGTTCATTGGGAAGCTCTCAAAGCACAATGTTGTACTGGAAGAGCCAGAGTGCAGCGAGGGGTAGAGCAGAGAGATGACATGTAGGCAGGGCAAACAATGTATCAGTCCTTCAGCTGAATGTCACATAATTGCGCCATCTGTTATGATCCTGACTATCTTGCAGTTCAATAACTCGACAAAAGACAATGCCATTCGATGGCAGCTGAAATGACAGAACACGGAAAGAGAAATAGACAAAAGAATTGAAAATGGAAAGAAGAAGAAGAAGATGTGCACCAGCAAAGGCCAATGTCAAATTCCCCTTATCTCACCACTATCTCCAACCTCAGTCTCTCAGCAGTTCAGTTCAGCAACTGCAGCCTTTTAGTTTCATTACTACAGATCAAAATCTCAGCAACAACTTAGGAGAGAAGGTTAACTATCTCAGCAACAACTTAGGAGACAAGGTTAACGGGTCCACTGACATTCAGCATTTACATAGGTGCTGAAATTTGGAACCACCCTCCCCTAGCTAAATAAAACAAGAAGAGGGGGGGGTGGGGGGGGTGGGTGCGGGTGTGGGAGATTCAAAATTTTCAGCATCTTCACCACTTCAAAGTTTTCAGAACCTTCAGCGGTCATATTCTGAAAATTTTGAAGTGGTGAAGATGCTGAAAAGTTATGAACACATCTTTTCCCCTTAAAGAAAACAAAACAGAGGGAGGCAGGAGTTGGGTCAAAGAGGGGGCGGGGCGGGGGGGGGGG